TGAAAACCAATGCATTAATAATTTTCTTTCTGGATTAGTTCTCCTTATACAATATTACAGTGTATTATTCAACGTTAGACCTGGCAGAAATAATAAATGTTAAGATTACTTACTTCAATCCTCTTCCTTTGAAACTAAAGAAATAGTGGAGTATAATATTCAAAGATACTTAGCTTAAAGTTGCACAAGGGCTGCTGACTCTAGCTGTACTTTTCTTGCTACTGTGCCAACACCACAGAGTATCATAAATTGGAACACATAAAAGTAAGAGTACTATATGCCAGTAGTCCATTAAATATAATGTAATGTAATATATATATATATATATATATATATATATATATGATCACAGCAAAACCTAAAAATAACACATTTTTTTTCCAATGACAGAGTGGATTAATGAATTTACAAAACCCAAGAACTCATAGTAAGTTACTGAGCTGGGATTTAAATCTGGGCATTCTTGCTCTAGAATCACTTTTCTGAACCACAAGTAAAAGAAATGAATATAAACTGAGTTGAAGGAAAACCTGAATGTAGGAGTAAAAATTAGGAAAGGTTACTTTCAATTTAAGAAAAATATCTGCATCTTTAAATTCATTTGCAAGACTTAAAAATAAAATAAACCCTTTTAAGCTGCTTTGAGGACTCAGTTTATTAAGCTCTGGACTCTTTGACACTGGTAAATCAAGTTTATATTCAAATTACTAAAATCTTTTTTTTTTTTCAAACTCAAATTGCATTTTGATTTTTCCTGATTCATTCTTGGTTCTTCATTTCTCAGAACCAGGAAACTAACTCTGAATTAGGAACAAATGAGCACTATGATATATTTAGACACAGACATAGGCTAAAATTTCAGATTTCAGTAGGCAGAGATTTGAGAATAGAGTTTTAGAAACAGGCAAATGTATAATCCTATATCCAACTACCCAGAAAAAAGCTGGAAGCAGGGGTGGCTCCAGTGGTAGAATACCAGCCACAAGAAAAAATGCCAAGCAAAAGTAATGAGGCTCTGAGTTCAAGCCCCAGTACATACATATATGTATACACACATGCACATGAACGCATACACAACACATACATATAACACACACACACACACACACACACACACATACACACAATCACCTTTGTCTTAGTTTGGTCCCATTGCTCTTTGAGCAGTCTGTGATGCTATTAAGGGAGAATTCTCCTAGAGCCATCTATCCAAAGGAAGAACTGAATTATAAACATATTTAGTGCTTCCATCCTTGAAATGCTTCTTAATAAACCAAACAAAACATTTAACAATCATTTGTAAATTACTAGTTCACAATAAGTATGTGGAAACATTGTGACATTTTTCACTATACTTTCTGCCTTTAAGGCTACATTCAAAGTTGGTACCCAGATTTAAAAAAAGAGGTTCTGAAATTCACCTTATATCAAAGGTTTCCATTTCCAGTGCCTCTTTTTTCCAAAGGATTCTTGCTAAACATTCCCACAATGACTTGTCACAGAACATTAATGGATATTTACTAATGAAAGTACTGTAACTCAGGCAGTTAGAAATGTTTTATTTGACTTGGTCCAAGTATCATTAGCATGACTGTGCAGAGTAAGTGAAGAAGAAAATGTAGGTTGATGGTAAAATCTCTTCAAGTATGCCTTTCTCCTATTATCCAGGTAAAGTTTTATGAGAAACTTTCAACATGAATGGCACCATTTCATCACCCATGAACTTTTCATCTTACTTGCTTTATTCTCTGGAAAGTTGTATTTAAGTTCCAGAACAGCTGTTTATCTGAATTCACAAGTACCTTTGTGCCTGTATAATGTACACAGACTCTAGCATGACTTGAAACACTACAAATGCCATGAAGTAATTTAATGTTTAAGATCATGAGTTCTGGAGTCTGAAAGGATTGGGAATTCATCAATTTTCTGACCCCAAAGAAAATCATTTAACTTACTTCAGCCTCTCTTTCTTCTTTTATTTACCGAAAGAAGAAATAACACCTACATTTCAAGAAATTGTTCATTCATTCAATACATGCTATGTACCAGATGGACAGACTTCAACAAAAAGAAAATAACATATTGAGTTAAAATATAAAAATTATAGACCAAATAAGGGCTGGGAAGGTGGCTCAGTGGTAGAGCGCTTGCCTTGCATGCCTGAGGCCCTGGGTTAGATTCCTCAGCACCACATAAGCAAAAAGAAAAAAGCCAGAAGTGGTGCTGTGGCTCAAGTGGTAGAGTGCTAGCCTTGAGCTGAAGAGCTGAGGGACAGCGCCCAGGCCCAGAGTTCAGGCCCCACGACCAGACCCCCCCCCCAAAAAAAATTATAGACCAAATAAAAGTAAGAGGTGACTATTGCCACATGGTAATTAGGAAGACAGAATGGTTATTTTAAGTAGAATAGGCAGAGTGCACCCTAGGTGAATAAATCTCAGAATATGTTATTTGTTTATAATGAAAAAAGGCATGTATTATACTGATAGGATATATATATATACATGATATTATACTGATAAGATACTGAAAAGGTTAGGATCAACTTTACATTTAAATGATTCTGGTTGGTACAGTGAAGTACAAATCACAAAGAAGTAAAAGAAGAAATAAGGAAATCAGGTAAGATATATTAGTAAGTCAGATCATCAAATCAGTGGTAGAGGTAATATAGTAAGAAATGATCAGATTATAAATTTACAGCTGGAATAACTCTTTAGAATTCAGGCCTAAGTGAGCAGAAGGATGGAATTTCTAGCCAATGAGATGTAGAGGGCTGTGGATAGAGCAATGTATGAACAGAAACTGTAAAAGCTCAATTTAGGGCATTCACTTTTAGATTGCTTTTAGAAAAGAAGTAGACTGAAAACTCAACTAAATGGATCTAGAATCTAAAAAAAGACTTTATAATGATACAAATTTGGAATATTATGGAGATTGAAAGACAATGTTTGTAAAACATTAAAACAGTACATAACATATGAGAACTCAATGTATACTACATTAAAGATGTTTAATGATAACATTAGCAATTGTAATTCCCATTACTTGACTAGCACAGTGCCTGGGATTTTGTGAACTGCAGGTATATGTATGAAGTACCCAAAAAGAAATCTTCAAGCAATTGCTTATTTGAGTGAGTTTTGAAAACATAACACAGGAAGGAGCCACAATATATTTTTGTATTTAAAATGAAATTAATATTAGTTGATTCTTTGTAATTTTATGAATGTTTGCTAAGAAAGAAGTAGGATATCAGGTACTGGTGACTGATGCCTATAACCCTAGCTACTGAGGAGTCTGAGATCTGTGAATCCTTGTTCGAAGCTAGACAGAGTACACAAATTTGAGAAAGTCTTATCTCCAATTAACCAAAAGAAAGCTGGAAGTGAAGCTGTGGTTCAAGTGGAAGAGCACTAGTTCTGAATAAGAACATTGAACAAGAACAAGAGGCTAAGCTCTAGTATTGGCCAGAAAAGCAAAGAAAGAAGGGGACGTGTAGGGAGGGAGAGGGGCAGGGACAGGGACAGCAAAAGGGAGTGAGGGAAGGGAGGAAAGAAGAACTACAGACTCTCATACAAATATTTCCTCAAGATTTATTGCCACATGCTTCCTACACAAAAGATTCAACTCAGACTCATTGACTACATTTTCATGTGGATTTTATAAATAAACAATACACATCATTCATTGACTTGAAAATAAAATAATTTAAAAGTATGCACATTATGATATCTTTTTGGTTTGTTTTTTTAAAAAAATTGTTAAGATGATGTACAGAGGGTTTATAATTACATAAGTAAGGCAATGAGTACATTACTTGTCCATCATTGTTACCCTTTCCCATCTTTGTTATTGTCCCACTATCCCTTCCCTCCACCACCTCCCACACTCCTCCCCCCACCCTATTCTCACTCCACCTAAGTTGTAAAGTTCCTTTCCAATATACTGTCCTGTGGGTATCCTTGTTGCAATAACTGAAACAATGCAATCCTGAAACAAGGACACAGGATGACACATTGCAACATTATGTTATCTTGATTCCATTCTCATCCTTATCCCTTCCTAAAGTTTATATCACAGCTCCTTCTGAAAGGGACATTGATAAATTTCATGTGGGGGCTTTTTGGGATCTGTTTCAGTTACTCAGTTCTGCTGTTGCAGTGAAAAACAGCTATAGACAAAGTGGAAACAAATGAGTTTGGCTGCATTCCAACAAATCTTTATAAAAACAAGCATCAGTTCTGTTGGTCTTAACCTTCTATATACTGTGGGTAGTAGTTTTAATTAGTTTATGTCTTCGTTCTAGCTTTTAAAGCAAAACCTCTTAATAGACTGCTTTAAACAACATTTATTTCTCACAGATTTGAAGATGGAAATTCAAGATCACTGTAACAAATTGGCAAGGTTCTGCTGAAAATCCTCTTTCAGGCAACAGACTAGCAACTCTTCCTACCATTACACAAAAGAAGGAGAGAAAACTAGTCCCTTGTTATAATGGTCTGAAAACCACTCGTTGAGAAGATTTCACTATATGAATTTGAATAATATACAACATTTATTTTGTTTTATGTAACTGTAAATGAATATTTTAATGTCCCCTTATACAAAAGGTAGCCTAAGATGTATCACAGTTTTTTTTTACCATGAAGGAGTATAGAATATATTGTTTATTTTAGATATCCTTCTACATCACTACATAGAAAGTAACCTCATGGTTTTCTGTGACTGTCTCTATTTTGTTATATATAATATAGTTTATTTAAATATTTTCTTTTTTAATAGACATTTATATATGCCTATTGCTTTATACTTACAAACAAGACCTGGTGAAGAACTCTGGAAATATACCAGTCAATGTGTGTATAAGTGTACAAGAAGAATAAAATTTTAAACTTTCAATGATCAATCAAACCAGTGATTTTGGAAGCTGTTGCTGGATTCACCTTTATAGGAGTTTTAATATTTTCACTTTCAGTACAACATATGAAAGTGCCTGTTTCAAAATTATGAAAAGCTTCATGGATTCGTGTGTTATCTTTGCAGAAAGGCCATGTTAATCTTCTCTGGATCATTCCAATTATAGTGTATAAGCTGCTGAAGTGAGCAACATGAAGTGATTTTTAATTCAGTAATGGATGAATGCTTCCCTGTGGCTTGCACCCAAAGATAGGACAGACTATAAAATTCCTCATTCTATTTAGCCTGTAGCAGAGAGGGGAAAATGTTCTGGACAGCTGCAAGCTCTTTTTTCCAGAGTGATGATTAGAGGAGACTATATCACCTTAAGTTCCAGAAATGTATGAATCTGCACTCTAGCTAATAAGGGACACAAATGGTCAAAATGGTAGAACAAGCTACTCAGGAGGCTGAGATCTGCGGACCGTGGATCAAAGCCAGCCTGGGAAGCAAAGTCTGTGAGAATCTTATCTCTAATTAACCACCAGGAAAACCAGACTAGGTGCTGTGGCTCCAGTGGTAGAGCGCTAACCTTGAGCTGAAGACCTCAGAAGCACCCCTCCAGTCCCAGGGTTGAAGCCCCACCACTGACCAAAAAAAAAAAAAAAAAGACTTATGCTGAATGTTTTTCCATCTGTGCAAAGAAAATTCTGTTCTTGGATAAAAATGTGGAATTGGAGCTCACTAGATACCTTAACTGGTTGCTAAAAAGCATTGGCCAAATATGTGATTCTCAGGCCCATTCATAGAAAACTAGAGTAAGGCATATTATTTTCTTTCTCCCATTCAAAATTGCAATGAGCTCTTTCCTTGATGGATATGGATTCTCTGCCATTACATTCTAAAAAAGCACATGAGGATCTTGAGACTGTTTGACTATAGACCATATATAGGAATTTTTGAAGGAAATTTTGTGTCCACATTCTATCTTCCGATTCATGAATCAAGTTACAAGACTAAGAATTGCCTTTTAAACAGATTATAAAACTACTGTTAATGAAGTATGTGCTGGGTGCCTATTTTAGATGTATTATCTCCTCAAATCATTCTGATAATCTTATGACAAAGGTTCAATTCTTCACTCTACTTTTCAGATGAAGACCTGGTGACTCCAAATATTATTCAGCAATTTCAAATGGTCAGAGTCTAATATTTCTTGTGACAGTGGCAAAGATATACTAGAGTCTCACTAAAGGTCATAATTTGTAAAGTAGATGAATGCTCCTTAATCTGATGGATTGATGCAGATACAAATTTATGGCTGGGGGACTAGTGACTCATGCCTATAATTCAGGATTTCCCCAGGAGGCTCAAATCTGGAGGACTGCAGTTCAGTCTAAGCCCAGGCAGGAAAGCCTGTAAGACTCTATCACCAAAACTTAACCAACAAAAATTAGCCAGGACTAGAGGCATGGATATTTGGTAGGGCACCAGCCAAGCAGGAGAGCTGAGCAAGTGCAAGGCCCTGAGTTCAAACCCCAGTACTAGCATCCAAGAAAAGGTTTGGCAGTGCTCCCTGAAGGGAAGAGGAATAACAAAATGGTGAGACAAAGTACAAAGGGTGAATCAACGCAACAGCAATACTCATAAGACACTATGTTGGAAATGAAATTTACAACTTGGGAGTGAAGGGAGTTGGAGTGCAGGAAAGTGGGAGAAAATGAGGGGGGGTGACACTATTCAACAAGAAATACACTTATTATTTTACTTATGTAACAGTAACCCTTCTGTACATTACCTTTAAAAGAAAATAAAATTAAAATTAAAAGTGAATGAAGTAACACCAGAATAACACCAATTTAATATCCTTTTCATTATTTCCTTTTGTATAATGATCATATAGAAAAGTGATATGATACAAATGAAATGCATAATTCCAGCCTGCTATTTTAAATGTCAGTCTTTAGGAAAAAATATGGAAGTGGCTCATTAAGGTTATATATGGAACTTTTCTAAGTTCTTGTCTCATTTGCAGTGTTAGTGATAAAAGCAGTCAAAGGAGACATAAAAATGAAGTTCAGGAGATAAGAGTCTCCTGGACTGTCCTGCCCAGGCTGGCTTTGAACCATGATCCTCAGAACTCAGCCTCCTGAGTAGCTAGGATTACAGGCATGAGCTGCCAGCCCCTAGTTTGGGTAATCATTTAAGTAGTAACATTATGTGAAATTGTGATTTTTATTAATCAAAAATGCATACTA